TCATTTTCCTAGTGGCAATACTGACTGCGCTAGAGTCGACAAAGTAAAAAATGGGCGAAATTTTTCAAATCGCCGCTCCTACCAGGGTTGCCAGGTGACAACGATGAAAATGGCCAAATGTCATTTCTGAGAGTGCCCTCCGTCGAGGAAAAGCATTTTTAAAATTCCCAAACCGCTCCTTCTACTTTTCACCTTTTTGGGGTAAATCTTCGAAATTACCCTAAAATCGGGGAAAATTTTCACTTCATAGGAAAGAGCCGGCGGAGACTAATGACCGGTCCATACAAGGCGAAGAGCTCCGATGTTGCCATGTAGGCTAAAAGTGCGTTTGAATTTTTCGAAAAAGTGAAAAAATCACAAAATGGCCGCTGCCGGCGCCGCCATATTGATTTTCCCGAGTTTCATAATTTTCCCATAGTCACGACTATATTTGGCGTGCCACCTCATTCACAGATTTTCTCCGTTGGCCACCCAGGTTCCCAAACAATTCGGGATATGAGGGCAAGTCGAAAAACACGTTTTCTACCGTGGAGCCCAGGGTTGTCAGCTCGCGGAAACGAAAACTACCAAAAGTCATAGGGCTCCCCCGGCACCATACTGCATCGAGTCTGTTTTCCGCGAAAAGTGCGTATTTCGAAATTTCACTTTTCTCCCAAAATCTCATAAACTACCACGTAAATGGTAGAAATCGGTAGTGAAATAGAAAGATCGCACCGAGCCCCATGACCGCCCCATACGACATGAATCCGTCCGACGCCGCCATCTTGGAGAAAATCTCACTGGAAAATGGCGATTTTTCATTGCCGAAACAAAATGGCCGCCCCCGCCGCCGCCATGTTGACGCGCAAATGAAAACTCCCCGTTCGTGAAAATCGACTATACTTCCGAGCTGAAGGAGCAAAAATCCCCCCTCCGAACCCACCACAAAACAATTGACGATTGCCCGAACAGAGGTCGAAAAATGTCAATTTTCGAGGTAAAATATCTCGGCCGCCATTTTGTTTTTTTAATCAAACCCTTTTTCATTGCCATTTTTTTAGCCCACTCTACAACCATTTTGAATATCGTAATCATAGAGTGTATAATGTAGAAATTAAAAAAATTATCTCGCCGCCATTTTGTTTTTTGGCTGAACCGATATGCCATTTCAACTCATTTTAAAAAAATATTATCAGTCTCCATACATGAAAATGTCATTTTCCCCCTCTTTCTACCCGAAAAAAGCATGGAGTGAGTCAGTGAGTCAGTCAGTGGTAATTGAGCTTTATATATTATAGATATCGAGTTACAACAAATAACAATTTCTATGCGAAACGTTTAAAATATCTATTTGTGACCGAACAACTGTCTAGCTAGTCTACCGTTACATGCAACCCTCTAAGAACCCTCTTACCTCCTTAACATAATTGCACGGGATTTCCTTGTGAATCGTCTTCATTTGAATAACGTAGCAGTTTTATAGAGCATTTTATGTTCGTGTAGGCACATGCAATAACTTTTCTTTCTTTCACATGTCCTCATTTTTCTACTTCTGAGATAAGTGGATGAATCTTATAAAAAGCTTTATTCATTACATAAATTAAGGCTTACTAGCTGTATGCCGTAAATTTACCCACGTAAACTATATAAAAACGTAAAGTATGAAACACTGTCCGATTCGCTCTTGGTCGATTTATCTATACTTTAATGTCAATAATATAATGAGGAACGATTTGAGAGTTCATTTATTTGTTTGCAATGAATATATTCCGAAACTTTTGTTGATTGGACCCATATAAAAATTCTTTTAATTACGGAAAGCTCCATAATACGCGGGTGTAATCGGTTATATTTAAAAGCTAGTTTTCAATAATAACGACTCCAGTAACATGCATTATATGAGTATTTTAAATAATTATTAATAACATATTACGCTTATAAAAAACAGAAAGATAGACGACAATAGCCACATCATAAAAATGTAATTTAGTTTACGAGATGTTTTTGCTATAATTAAGAGTAATATTATCTTTGTGGTGGTTAATTTAAACTTATGGAAAACCAACCAATTTATATGAAAAATGAAGTACAGAAAAAAGATAGGTAGTTATTTAGTTCTCAGAATGATGATTTAGTTCTTAGATGTTACGAAGTCGGCATTTCGATATTAAAGAAGCTTCACAATGAAAAGTTATTCTTTGTTCATTAGCGCGGCGACAGCAGACGTTATTCGCGTCGTCGTAAAACTTTTAATTGAAATGTATCAAGTCGGGAGCACTTCGAAGATTCCTAACGGTTTTGTTTGCACCCGACACAACGTTCCGTGTCAATTAATTTCCTAAAGTGGGCAGACGGTCGAAGTGGTGACCAAAAACAATGCTCGTATTTCGTAGTCGCATCCGGCTGGCTGCCGACACAATGTCTGTGCCGTTGGAACTAGAAAAAACTTGGCCATTGTTTGTAGTCTTTTCTATTTCTTAGTTTTCAGCTAGTTGTTTTTCACTGTTGCTGCTGACGCGCCCACGCTAGTTGTGTACGATATAAATAATACCTATAGCTAAAATATATTTAAGGTAGTAACGTAGTGGTTTTGTTATCAGTGTTTCTAATACACTTTTATATCTTGAAATTAGTCACAAGTTATAATAAATCTCATGAGGTTTAGGTCAATTTTTATTTAAAAATATTAAAATATGTAATTTTTTTAGTAACACCAACTAAGCAAATCAAAAGCTAATTCTAATAAATTAGAAAGGTGGATCACAACTTCGAGAGATTTCTTTTAAGTTCAGTCAATTAATTCTCTACAAAATGAGGGGTTGAGGGGCGATTTTGGTTTATGTTTACTGAAATTCTTTTTATCCCAGATTCTAAGAGCATTTTGGTGAATTTTAAAATCGTCATAATGGACTTACTTTTTTAAATTTCGCATTTACGAAACTAATATTAAAGAAAATTGCTTGTCCCCTTTGGTATCCGGTAGCTCAGTTGGAATAGCACTAGTTCGGATAGCGAGTAGTTAGAGTCCAATTGACCTACCCATAAATAAATTTCAAATTCATGTAAAGAATATACTTATGAGTACAGGCTATTATAAAGATGATGATTATTTTAAGGATCGCAATGCATGGAATTAATAGCCTTCGCTTTGTTCTATAAAGACTAATTATATGTTCAACCTATGTCCTACAAACTTTGAAAGTTGTATTTATTATTGTGATAATACATATTATTTTGGTAATGATATGATTTATGTAAATGTCATTACTTAAGATAAAAAGCTGGTAAGTTTCTTTCGCTTGTTCTTCTTGTTAGCTTAAAGACGTCCTGAACAAGTGGTAGGGGAAAAATATTTTTTTGGACGATTCAAAAGTGCTTGTAATAACCTACTTGAATAAAGATATTTTCATTTCATTTCCAGCCTGACCCGTTTTTAAAGTATTTATTACATAACATCGTTCTGAAATAAAATATTCGTATTGTGGCCACTTGGTAAACTCTACTTGGATTTGAGTATGTGTCCATATATAACGTGATAACTATTATACTATTTTGGTTAGTAACAGTGCGAGTTATCTGCCTGACAACAAAAATTCCTTATGATCTGTTGCTGTCGCCGTTCGGTAAAGATCAATAAGGCACGCTCGGAGCACCTCATGGCCCAGGGTTCGTGCCGAGTTGGCATCGCGTGACGTATTCCGTTATTTAATAATGTCTTCCCTGCTCATCCGTTTGCCTTTGTTGTTAAAATGTTACTTTTGTTGCCGTAAAGTACTTCCGTGTATTGTTAAAAAAAATATTTTTCCTTGCCAAGATAAGTATTCTCTACGCGATGCGTTAACGTTAAATAAAATCAAAACATAAACAATGTCGAACAATGGTTTTCTTTCTTTTAATTTAAAAGGGCGTTGAATCTATTCGGTGGTTCGCTAGGAACAAAGGATTAATTTAAAAATTAATTGCCCGCGAAGTAATAAATAAAAGGTGGACGTGACATGTAAATAAAAAGAGTGGTCGGTGCGGAACGACAGAGCGCCGCGTTGGAAGAAAGGGCTCTGTCGTCACGGCGGCCGCGCCGGCACAATGCCGCTGATTTAAAACACTCGACAAACTTGCATTCCCTTATCTTTCATTAGTGTCGGAACTCTTAGCCGTCCTAGACAGAATCCATTAAGACAATGTGACGCTTAATATTAATTAAAGTTAGATAAATGGTGTAAATTGCTAATTTAAAATTTTGATATACAATATTCGTGATGCGTCGACTTACGTGACTAACGGTGCTGGTCGTGCCAGTAGACCTGGTGAACTAAATACTTGTACTGACATTATTATGAATGCTTAAAGGATGTCATGAAAGAATGAAATAAGGGGTCGTATTAGCTAGGTTACTATGGTTTTAGGCAGGTGTGATTTTTCTTCTAGCCAGGTTAGCTTTAGCATTCATTTGAATAAAAATATTTGACAATGTTTAATATTATAGTGATTTCGAACACAAGCAAGCGATTTACTCATTGCTGCTATCCTAAAAGACGACCAACTATACACCTGTAGTGCTATTTTGTAATAAAATCAGCGTTGAACTAGACGTTGGTGCACTGCGCTGTCACAAAATAAGAGTTCCAAAGAAATCAAACCTTTATTACCTTTTGAAGTAGGTTTTTATTGGATTGAACGTCTATGCGGAACGGCCCACGAAATTTTTCAAATCGGCCCAGTAATTTGGAATCCTATTTGATGCAAATAAATATACATCCGGTTTCTGAACTGACAGTTTCAAGTTCAGCACGTCTCAAACCATAAACGTCAATTAAACAGGTTTGCATTACTGATTTATAATTTTTTGATAAAACTAGGACTTTTTCTCATATGAATAGTAAAAAGCTTAAGTTATTGAAATTAATCAGTTGAGATTTTGTGCTTTTCTCAATTCAGAAACCGGTCGTTAGACAGCATAATTGGAGACCTGATAAATATTTAATGTAGTGTGAGCGGCTTGTAATAAAAGAACAAGCGCTTACCCGTGAGTAGATCGGGTGTGTAACGCGGCGCCAGCGCAATAGAAGAACAGTTCCAGCGTTCGCCGGCATGTGCGGCCAGGCAAGCGGCGCGCGCCAGTCTCGAGGCAGTGGCCACGTGTGCCATAGCGGTCGGCTGCCGTCGGCATACGCGTCCCTGCGCGCTCCACAGCGCGCCATCGCGACGTGCCAACAAACACTCACTCTCCGTCCAATTGCCTTCGCTCTCGTGCAACGATCTACAATATAATACATTGCCTTCAGATCACAGTATAAAAGTCACATTCATATTACAAATTTCTTACCTACTACAAAATTTTCCGTTAGTAAATTTCATATTTCGTTGATGTCTTTTGGGTAAGAAAATGAACTGGGAAAAAAAACTAAGCTTTTTTGGTCAGTTTAATTTACTATACAGGGCAGTGCTATAACTTGATCTAATTTATGTTTATACGTGCAAAGATACTTTCATTACTTTTTTATATAACACTGAAATTAATTATTTTGGTGTTTTAGGTCTATGGTCTGATAATGATGACTGTGGTCCGTCGTAGCGGCGCGCCGAATCCGGCCGTTGGCCACGTTGGAACGCCTCGCACATTTCGTACAAGTAATTAGGGAGGAAGTCGCCCGTTTCACCGTCTCTACGCCGTAGCAAGCGGTACGCATCGCGTAGGCTAGGTTTCGGTGCGAGACGCATTTCTAACTCTACTGCTGACGGGAAATGCGCTGCAAGAGAGTAAACGATTTCTAGATCAGACGGCGGCGGATTTAAATGTCTGTAATTCGAAACTTTATGCAGAAAATACTCGGACATGCTCATTCTTGAACTAGTTTCATCATACTTTCCAAGTTTCATGTCGTAGAGTACTGACTTTTGTCGATCTGGACCCCAGAATTCCTGTTCGAATTCGTTGTAAAATGTTTCGACATCTTTAAATTCATTTCTGAAGCATCTAGCCCACATGAGTGGCACTCCATCGAGACAGGATATTATAAACTGCAGTTGTTTTTCCGGCGACATATTTAGTTCAGAAATGTAATATTTTACATTTTCTATAAAGTCCATCGGATGTGTGTCTCCAGTATCGTCGAAATTTGGTCTTCTATTTAATGAAGCTACTAGCCATTCCCCAAATTCTTCAGCCGACAGTTGTATGGCTGGTTTGCTGGTACTATCACTTTTATCGTCATCAATTTCTTCTATTTTCGGTCGTGAATCCCGTGACGTGGACGGCTTATCTCCTCCATCTATAGGTTTACCTAAATTGGGCAGTGACATATGACTCCGTAATCTCGAAGATGGCATATCCCTAAATACATCCTCTTGACTAGAAAATCGAACCCCAAATCCGAGAGTTGTCGGTTTATACATCGTGCTGTACAATACGGAGGGGTCTTTCTGTGGGATGTTCTCTTGAGATTTGTCTTTACTGATGGAGGATGATATCTTATCGACCATCTCAGACAGGTTTGTTACTGATGACTTAATCTGGCGCAAGTCAACGAACAAACTCATTATATTTCACGAGGTCTTCATGTTTATTAAGTAAAACATTTCCTCCGTGTATGCTGCAAACAAAATATCTGTTTAATAGGATTTTGAACAAATAAATGATTTAAATAATCGTAGATAAAAACTTTTATAAAAAATTTAAAAACTTTATTTATTTACTTAATAGAACAGTCGGCACATTTAATACGTATTTTGGTTTTATTTCCTTAATGAATTTGTTCACTAAAGATACGTGCAGTGCGTCCTGAGATTGATATAATATTGGAATTATTAAAGTGCAGGGTGCGTGCGTCGGAAGTTCGAAGCTTGAAGCTTACGTGCGACGGCGGCGGGTGGGCTGGCGGCACTACCTGCCTGCTAGGGGCGGAGTACTTACTTTTTATACAGTTTACGTTACTATAACTGGGTTATCGTACACTGAATATTAAATTCCATTGACGTTCTGTTGCTTGCCAAGGACGAGCCGATATTTGTTGTTAGGCGACATCTGTGCCGACTCTCGAACTTGCCCCAATATTGTTTATTGCATTACCGTTTTAGGACACAAAGAAAATTCGGAAACGAGGAAGTCTTACGTGTAAACAATAATACTACGCTGAAAATTTAGACGTTAGTCATTCAATTATCGTTCAAGTAGGTTTTCGTTGGATGACTCAGACTTTTAGTGCAGTTCATATATTGCAAACTACGGTTTTAACTTACTATTTATACATTAATGGTGGGCTACATGTTGCGGGTGGTTATACAATGGAATTTCGACTAATATAGGATTTTACTTTGTTCTTTAATATTTAATATATACTTAAAATTATAAAGAGGTAAGTCTTTAACTTTATTTTGTAAGGAGTAATCATTGAAAGTACTAATATGATCATGAAAATTCTTTCACCTACGGGAAGCTACATTCTACGTGGGTGACATAGGCTATAATTTAAGGGGCCGAAGTTGTGAGAAAACAGCTAAGTAGTATAAAATAATGTTCCAAATAATTTTTGCTACTTTTTTCCACATTCTCTCCTTTATTAAATTTGTGATTACTATAATAATAAATTATAATATTAAATTAGAGTTGCCTTGTTCGTAAAATATGAAGCCATATAGATAATTAATATGTTATTAGACGGCGATATTCGATTTGTAACCACCATGACAGTTGAAACTACTAACCTATATTTGTAATGTAGTATGGATTGAATTTATTACTATTGGGGTTGTTTTACTGTTCAAAGAAATAGGAATGTTATACTTTTGCATGAATAATTGCTTTGTTTCAATAGGAAATCCGATATCTGTCTGTATAATGGTGTGGGGAATTGAGGGTGCACGCGACGTCACTCTGCCGATCGTCGAAACAGGAGCGTTTGATAGTCGATAGTTTCGCATGCGACCAACTAGCTTGACGACCGAATACGGCTGGTAACGGTCACGGATGTCTATTTTTGAATCACTAATTTGAAGTCGCATACGACTTAAGACTTACTTTTGCTAGTCGGTTACAAATACATAGTTATAAAAACAGCACTGTCATAGCATCAGAGGTTTTATTAAATAAAATCTTTATTTTATCTAATGCTAAGAATGTATCTACCTACTGTCTTTGACACTGTATTTTTAACAGATAGTACTGTAGATATTATAGTGGTTGCGAGTTTTCAAGCAGTTCTGCAAATTCTTTGAGCAAATAGTATACGGATATCAACAAAAATACAATATTACAGGACAGCCTTTTAAAGATTTGAAATGTAATAACATTTATATAAATAAGTTTTAATTTCAAATTTTGGCAAACAAATATATCCTACCAAGTGGTTATCGCAGATATTCTATTTTGTTTGTACTTTTCGAGAAACAGTCTGATGGCTTTATTTACTTCGAACCAAAAACAACACTAAATGAGTCAACTACCACATATCTTTGTATACGCCGGGCTTTTAAACTACTAAATTTATAACTTATAAAACCAGTTATTGTTGACATTTTTTACTTTATAAATTTACCGGTATTCATTTTCCCTACAATTTTGTTGTTATCTCAACGTACTTCATTCTGTTTATAATGCAAGATTTTTATATAGTCATATGTATTATAAAAATGCAAAGAAGAGTTCAAAATAAAAAAGGTATATTTAAATCATGATTAATGTAATGATTACGATTTGATTTGGCTAATTGTGCGTTGTTTGTACGTATTTTAACTATTCGAAAAATATTTTTTATTGTGATGCAGTAAAGTCGCTTAATTATAATAATAAGTAACTATTTCAAACATTCTCTCGAGTTTCATGTAGTTTATATACAGTGAGACATTGGTCAGGATTCAGGAAGGTCTGAGTGAAAACGTTTTGACATAGTATAACTTGTTTTTTTGTTCACTCGCATTAATCATATTGTAGAAGAGGGTTGGTGATAATCTTAGGTCGAATAAAATTTTGTACATATCGAGTACTCGACACAAGACGAATGATTCACAAATAGAGCTTTTGGAAGCTAGGCGGCAACCACGCGCGGCTCGCTATCCGGGCAGAGCGATTCGCACAACTACGTAATAGCAATTGACTCCGTCGTCCGGACATCCAGTCACGGTACTACGGGCACAAAGCTTCCGTAGCCATGTCCTATTATGGTTAACTCATGTGGAATGCAATTGTTCCGTTCTCGGGCCTTGTATTATCGTATTCGTCACGCCGCGCACGTGTACGTTAGATCTAATAAAATAATTCCCGTATCAAATTTTACGCGTCTATCTCGATCTAGTAGACAAAGACCCGTGTGGAGGGTAGGGAATTCGCTTTGTCATAACTGGTCGTGCTATACAAAAGAGCATTGAGCTTTTTTCACGGGTTCCTTTGTATTTTGTGTATGCAGATAATTTTAAAATGATCCGTCAAGTTACAGTGTTACTCTTCTATTATTGTTATTAAAAGGGGGTCATGTAATTGAATTTCAATTTTGAATTTAGCAATAATGTAATGCTCTCGGAAAAGGTTTTCATACATGTCAAGAGTAGGGTAAGTCAAGAGTTAAAAATTCATTTCAATGATAATATAAATTTGGTTGAACGTTAATGTGAAAAAAAGAGTTCGGTCCACGCCACGACACCCTCGAAAATACCGAGAGCGGAAAATGAAATCAGAGTTGAAAAATCGTTTTAAAACGGTTTTCTAAATCGTAGAAGCAAAAACAATGTTACCTTACAGCTGGCGCGCTGCACCAGGCGCTGATTTGGCTTTAATGATGATTAAATGCAGTATGATCGTCGCCGGTCGTGCGTGCGCCGGCCGGGGCCCGCGCTCCCAGGGAAAGAACAACCACAAACGCCACGAACGTGACTTTAATGTAGCGATTTAGCAGTCTCGAATTGATTGATCAGTTCGTTAGCTTTTACTCGCTCGTTCGTTAGCTTTATTACAAAATGTATTCTCTATGTGTAGCGCTTTTATTTTAACGATAAAAGAAAAATGTGCTGCCTTTTTCTAACAAAAAATGATAATTAAACTTGGTGTATAATTTGATTTTGGAATAATTTATATCTGACTACAAAAAAGATGAGATTCTCAAATTAATTTAACGAATTGGTTTGGACCGATCCGAATAGGTAGTCCCATAAAAATTAATGAGTTTGAATCAACAGCCCCAAAAAATCTATTCATCAGCAATGTCTTACTTCGTTGTTTGTGAAATTGTTAAATTTTCTTTTGTTACTTTTCAAAATATTGTAGGTATA